ATCGATTAACGATGAACTACAATAGTAATGTTTCGTAGTTAACAAGAAAGTGATTGCGAAGTTCAAAAGTTCATTTTACAAGGGTTTTTTACCATGGCATGACATGCGTTTTCCGTATCTCACGCTCCATGAACACGAACATCGATGTAGTGACGGTGGAAAGACCAATAATTGCCAATAGAATGAAATAGTAGAGACCTAGAAATGGAGAAATTATCTTCGAAAGCTTGCAAATAAATAAGAAAGCTTTTGGCTCTTGAAAAGCTTGGAGACCTCTTGAAATGGATAAACAGCCATTGAAAAGCCTTGGAAAGCCTTGGAAAGCCTTGGAAAGCCTTGAAAAGCCTTGGAAAGCCTTGGAAAGCCTTGGTAAGCTTTGAAAGCTTTGAAAAGCTTTGGAAAGCCTTGGAAAGCCTTGGAAAGCCTGAGAAAGCTTTGGAAAGTCTTGGAAAGCCTTGGAAAGCTTTGGAAAGCCTTGGAAAGCCTTGGAAAGCTTTGGGAAGCCTTGGAAAGCCTTGGAAAGCCTTGGAAAGCCTGAGAAAGCCTTGGAAAGTCTTGGAAAGAGTTGGTAAGCTTTGGAAAGCCTTGGAAAGCTTTGGGAAGCCTTGGAAATCCTTGGAAAGCCCGGAAAGCTTTGGAAATCACTGAAAAAGGATAAGAAAGCTCTCGAAAGCTCTTGATAAGCTTTGAAAATGGATAAACAATCTTGAAAGGTTTGGAAATCTTGTCTTTATCTGAAACATTGGCTATTTTGCTAACCAGGAGAGTGTTTTGCTTTGTCCTCACCTATCAACGGGATTCCAGACGGTGATCCTTTTCCCTTTCGATTCCTTCCCATCGAAAATTTCGGCATATCCTCAACAATAGCCAATAAAATAACGGACATTGACATAAGAGTCATGATTCCAAGACGAAATTTTGCGTCTCTGAAATTTCAATTCAGTGTAATTTCAATTTTCCCCTCTTATAGATCAGAGAATTTGGTTTATTTAGAGTAACTTTTTGACATTGGCTCTTTTGCCAACAAGGAGATTGTTTTATTTTCTCCTCACCTATCAACAGGACTAGAATTCTTACCGTAATCTTCCGGATGTTGAAGGCGTATGAAAACCGATGACAGCAACAATTGTGATGATTGTCGACGGGATGACCAAGTTGAAAACTTGAAAAAAAAAGCATTCAATTAAGCAGTCTGGATCTTCTTACCGTAGTAGAAACTTTGCCGATGCACAACTAACTCCATGATGATCATCTCCCAGTGCAATGGTGGATCCAAATAGTCATAAAGGAATCCATCAGATTTGATCGTCGAGTGCTCCTGGATTTTGAGGATATTTTGGGAACTGGCTCTGTGCGCTCCAGCTTGAGGGAAAAGCTTCAATTTTTCTAGAGATTAAGCTTTTCCTAGGATTTTTTAAATGCAAATTGTTCTGTGAGCTCCAGCTTGAGGGAAAAGCTTCAATTTTTCTAGAGATTAAGCTTTTCCTAGGATTTTTTAAATGCAAATTGTTCTGTGAGCTCCAGCTTGAGGGAAAATCTTCAGTTTTTCTAGAGATTAAGCTTTTCCTAGGATTTTTTTAAATGCAAATTGTTCTGTGCGCTCCAGCTTGAGGGAAAAGCTTCAATTTTTCTAGAGATTATGCTTTTCCCAGGATTTTTTAACTGCAAATTGCTCTGTGCGCTCCAGCTTGAGGGAAAATCTTCAATTTTTCTAGAGGTTATGCTTTTCCTAGGATTTTTTAATTCTAACTTGTTCTGTGCGCTCCAGCTTCAGATAAAAGCTTCAGTTTTTCAAATAATCTTGACAAGAACTTATTCTGTGCATGCCAGATTGAAAATACAAAAAAACTTTTGGGAAAAAATGAAATTTTACGGGTTTTTTTAAACTCGAATTTGCTTTGTGCGTTCCAGCTTGCCTTTTCAACTCACCACATCAAGTTGCCACTCTTGATTATCATAAAAATCGACGAGGAAAAGACTGTCTGAGTAGAGAGCGTATTTGATTGAATCATTCGAATAGGCCCATGATCCGAAAAGGAGAGTGCACTTTTGAATGTCGAATGGGAAAAACTGGAAATGAGATTTTGAGGGATTTATAGATTTCTTTTTTCTTTAAGACTTTTTTAAGTATAGAAAAGAATTTTGATTTTTAATATTTTTGGCGTTCGTTTCTTTCTTTTTCACTCTTTTCTTTCTTTTGTCAAAGAAAATGTGAAAAACACACAGGGGAAAGGGAAAATGAAACGAGTTTTAAGCCATATAGAGCCATAGAGCGGTGTTGGAGCACTGGAGACGACTGGAGACGACTCGATTGTCAGACCTGGAGTCGACCTCGAGAACCCCCATTACAATCAAATAAACAAATTTTCGTTTCTTTTCCCCCACGTTTCTTCTCTTTTCCATTCATGAGTTCCAGTTTGAAGTTTTTGAAAAGAAACTTTCTTTAAAAAGCATCTGATTCTTTTGAATTAAGCCCGAGATGAGTTGGAGGTTTTTTGCTGAGACTAGACCCGTTATACGCTATGTTTTTTGATTATTTGCCCATCCTGGACATCATGCTAGCCTTATAAATCTTTAAATGTAGGGTTTATTGTTTTTTTTGAGCATCAGTTTCAAAAACTCCGACACTCTCCCTGCCATTTCCCTTTCGATCCACCGATTTTCTCAGCTTTTTTTTGGGAATGATTTATGTTTTATGAAAACCATCTAACACTTTCTAATCCTTTATCGCAATATATCATCGTTAATCGATCATAGAAAATCTATGAGAAGATCTATGGGCAGATCTATGGGAAAGGAGAGGTTAGCCTAAGCTTTGCCCTGACTGAGCCTGCCCTGCCATTGGAGCTCTTGTAACTCTAAAGGCTAGCCTAAGCTTTGCCCTGACTGAGCCTGCCCTTGGAGCTCTTGTAACTCTAAAGGCTAGCCTAAGCTTTGCCCTGACTGAGCCTGCCCTTGGAGCCCTTGTAACTCTAAAGGCTAGCCTAAGCTTTGCCCTGACTGAGCCTGCCCTGCCATTGGAGCTCTTGTAACTCTAAAGGCTAGCCTAAGCTTTGCCCTGACTGAGCCTGCCCTTGGAGCCCTTGTAACTCTAAAGGCTAGCCTAAGCTTTGCCCTGACTGAGCCTGCCCTTGTAACTCTAAAGGATCCTCTATTCTGCCCTTCAATCCTGCTCGATTCAACTCTACCCACCTTTACATCCAACTCGCATAGGCTCTCCGTCGAGAACGGGATATAGTATCTGATGTGTCCTGTGTTGTTCACTCGAATATCGTTGTCACTGCGCAACTTGACCGCATCGTTAAAGTTATGGCTGAAATTTAAAGATTTTTATCTTTTCTGGATATCACATTATCTAAAAAATTCGTTTATAATTTAAGAAATGAAATTTGAAAAAAATTTTCTTAAATTTCTCCGTTTTCCACAACAAAGAAACGGTCAGAAAAGTGTTTCTGTTGGCTTTTCTTTTTTTCTTTCTATTTCTTTTCTTTCTATTTCTTTTACTGCCTTTCTTTTCTTCTTTTAATTGAATCCTTTACTTCTTTACTTCTTTACTTTACAAACTTCTTTGCGATCTACTTTAAATTCCTCAAATATTCGTAAACACATCTTTTCTAAAGCGCTGATCTTTCATTCTATGCCAGAAAGGGTATTTTTAGCATTTTTGGAACGCACAAAGTACACCAGAACAGTTTAAGCAAAGTTTTCCTTGTTCAAGTTTTTCAAGTCTTGTTTAGCGATTCAGGACTGGGACTAGTACTCCGCGCTTTCTACTGTAATATGCTAATATTTTCTTTCGAAGCTTCTATCTGGATGTCACGCTAACCTGTAGTACAATGAGAACTCGGGAACCTTTGCGATCTACTTTAAATTCCCCAAATATTCGTAAACACATCTTTTCTAAGGCGATGATCTTTCATTCTACGCCAGAAAGGGTATTTTTACCATTTTTGGAACGCACAGAGTACACTAGCGCAGTTTAAGCAAAGCTTTCCTTCCTTCCTTCCGTTCAAGCTTTCAAGTCTTGTTTAGCGATTCAGAACTGGGACTAGTACTCGGCGCTTTGTACTGTAGCATGCTAATATTTCCTTTTGAAGCTTCTATCTGGATGTCACACTAACCTGTAGTACAATGAGAACTCGGGAACCCAAATGTCACTCGACGCCAAGAATATCTCCTTTGCTCCCTCGTAGGCGTCGGGATCCCATTGCAGAAACTCGTCTTGCCAATACTAAATTTCAAAAGTATTTTATCTAAAACCTCTAAAATCATATAGAAAAGCTGATTCGAATCACATAGAAAATCACATAGAAAAGTTGATCGTATTGGAACCGTATTGGAACCGTATTGGAACCGTACAATGGAACCGTATATTGGAACCATATTGGAACCATGTTGGAACCATGTTGGAACCATATTGGAACCATATTGGAACCATATTGGAACCGTATTGGAACCGTATTGGAACCGTATTGGAACCGTATTGGAACAGTATTGGAACAGTATTGGATCTAAAAAGAATCGTATTGGAACCGTATTGGGACCGTATGGGATCTAAAAAGAACCGTTTTTTTAGCATTTTCTAAGCAATCCAATACAAATTCCATTCTAGACAATTCTAGTCAATTCAAGACAAATTCCGTCATTTTCTCGTTCTTTAAGCTCTTTAAACTCTGGGAAATGATGTCAGAAAGTTCAAAATTTGCATTTAAAACCGAAAATTTGCATTTGAACGCACGATTTGCATGTGAAATCATTGAAAATTTGCATGTGAAATCACCTCTGATATCAAATCCGTTTGTTATCGTCTATTTTAAATCATCTCTGATATCAAATCGTCTATCAACACCGGAGCAATGTTGTAAAATTTTCGAAAATTTCAATTTTCACTATATCTCGAATTTTTTGAAATTAACATCTGCTGTGACATCCAGATCGACGATTTTTCATCTTTGTTTTACGTAAAATCTCTACAAAATTCCCGTTTAGAATACACGGAAATGATTCTACGATTATTTTGTTTGTTATTTCTCTATTTTCTCGGGAATCTCGTCTCCGCTCAGCAATGGACAAAAGCATGTAGGTAAAAAGGGGAAATCATTTGGAAAAATCATTTTACAATCATTTTACAATCATTTTACTACAGTAATCGATATGTGCGATGCGTCGGTGCCCGGTTCGTGTGGGCCTTATGGATGGTGTGAGACGAGGAAGAGTGGGAATCGGTGAGTGAAAAGGGGGAAAGTGTGAGCTCCAATCGATCTCCAATTGATCGTCTCAATCAAATGAGTATTGGCAATCGATTGGGTGTTTCGGAAAAGCATTGGGCACAAATTCAGAGCAAGAAAAGACCATTAGTTCGGCAATTTTTCGTCTTTTTATCTCGATTTCTTTTTTTTATTTCCATTCGTTTAAAACAAAGAAAGAGTTTAGAGAAATGGTGATAATCTTTTCTCGAAACGTTTAGCCATGTATTTTTGAGCTATACTTCTCAGGCTGATCTGATTTCAGATTGATCGATCGCTTGATCTGATTTCAGATTGAATTTGATCGAATGGTGTCAAGTTTTATTGAATTTGAATTTATTGAATTTATTGAAATCACTGAGTTCTATCAAAAGTGCATGTTGAGATTTCAAATGTTTTGAAGTTTTTGAGCTAAGCCAAGAATCAGATCGGACTTGAAATGCATAGAAGCAGGCTAGATTCTAAGCTTGGCTAAAGCCTAGCTAAAGCCTGGTTAAAGCCTGGCTAAGGCCTGGCTAAAGCCTGGTTAAAGCCTGGCTAAGGCCTGGCTAAAGCCTGGTTTAAGCCTGGCTAAGGGCTGGCTAAAGCCTGGCTAAAGCCTGGTTAAAACCTGGCTAAGGGCTGGCTAATCGATTGGGTGTTTCGGAAAAGCATTGGGCACAAATTCAGAGCTTTCCTTTTTCTTCTTTTTCTACCATTTACAAAAGAAAAAAAAACAAATTTTTGCTTAAATTTTATCTTTTTTTTTCGATAAAAATTCCATAAACATTAAAGAAATTTGAATTTTTCAAAAAATGAAAGAACTTTAACTTTGTTTATTAGCTTTTATTAGCTTTTATTAGGTTTTATTAGGTTTTATTAGCTTTTATTTTATCTGCACCACTCTACTCTTCTCTTACAATTCCAATTTTTCAGCTGCCATTGCCAAATTGGTCGCATGGGAATCAAATGCTTAAGTGAGTTTGAAATCGAAAAATCTTTTAATCTTTCTCATCGACGTTTTTCAAATCCAGCAGCTCTTGTGCAATCCAGATTGCACAGGAGTTTCAGAAATCTTTTTCGGACTTTCTACGACTTTTGAAAACCCCTTTGCGTTGAGGAGAAACGAAATCCCCGGAGACACGTCGAACTCATCGACTTTCTCGGGTGTCTTGCGCTTTTGAAATCAGAAAGAACAAAAGAAAGAGTGAAAAAGCGGTCAAATGTCGACTCAGCTAGCGAAAAGACGATAGAATAGCGGCAAAATAACAAAAATCTGTTTGCATTTACTAGAAGAGATTGAGAATGGGTAGATAAAACTGGGAAGGATTACGTTTCAAATGAAATTTTCTTAATAGAACGTAATCTGGAGTGCACCGTAGTTGTAGCAAGATTTTGTAGTTTGAAAAGTTTAATTTCTCAAGAGCATCAACTACAAATGATTGAGAATGG